ATAGAAGACAGATCTCTATTGTAAGCTAAATTTCTATCATTTCTACCGTGTACCATATATATCGTGCATTCCTACCAGGAATGAGCCCGACTTACTGCCGACAATGCGGACCAAGCTCTGACACCGGTCATACTGGGACCTAACAGCCCGTATCAAAGGGCCTGGTGCCCCATACTCCCAGAGTACCCCCCACTGGGTTCCCCGAGGGACACAGTCAAAAGCCTTCTCCAAGTCCACAAAGCACATGTAGACTGGTTGGGCAAACTCCCACGCACCCTCCAGGACCCTGCTGAGGGTGTAGAGCTGGACGAGTGTTCCACACCCAGGACAAAAAACACACTGCTCCTCTTGAATCCGAGGTTCAACTATCGGACGACCCTCCTCTCCAGAACCTCTGAATAGACCTTACCAGGGAGGCTTAAGAGCGTGATCCCCCTGTAGTTGGAACACACTCTGCAGTTTCCCTTTTTGAATAGGGAGACCACCACCCCAGTCTGCCAATCAAGGGGAACTGCCCCCAATGTCCACGCAATATTGCAGAGTCGCGTAAGCCAACACAACCCTACAACATCCAGAACCTTAAGGAACTCCGGACGAATCTCATCCACCCCTGGGGACCTGCCACTGACAAGCTTTTTAACTTCCTCTGTGACCTCAGCACCAGAGATTGGAGAGCCCAACCCAAAGTCTCCAGGCTCTGCTTCCTCAGTGGAAGACGTGCTGGTGGGATTGAGGAAGTCTTCGATATACTTCGCCCACTGACCCATGACATCCCACGTTGAAGTCAGCAGCACACCATCCCCACTATACACAGTGTTGGTGGCGTACTGCTCAAACCCCCCCCCCCCCCCCCCCAAGATGCCAGATGGTGGATCAGAATCGCCTTGAAGCCGTTTGGAAGTCATTCTCCATGGCCTTTCCGAATTCCTCCCACGACTGAGTTTTTACCACAGCGACCACCCAAGCTGCATGTTGCTTGGACTGCCGGTACTCGTCAGCTGCTTCAGGGGTCCCACAGGCCAAAAAGGCCCGATAGTACTCCTCCTTCAACTTGACAGCATCCCTCACTGCCATTGTCCACCAGTGGGTTCGAGGGTTACCACTGTGACAGGCACCAACAACCTTTCGGCCCCAGTTCTGACAAGCCACTTAGAAAATGGAGGCATGGAACATGGCCCACTTGGACTCAATGTCCCCCACCTCCTCCGGAAAGTGATTGAAGTGCTCCCTGAGGTGAGAGTTAAAGCTCCGTCTCACAGGAGACTCTGCCAGACATTCCCAGCAGACCCTCACAGTATGTTTGGGCCTCCCAAGTCTGACTGGCATTCTACCCCACCATCAGAGACAACTCGCCACCAGGTAGTGTTCAGTGACAGCTCCGCCCTTTTCTTCACCCGAGTGTCAGAGACATGGGGCCACAGATCAAATGAGATGACAACAAATTCTATCATTGAACTGCGGCCTAGGGTGTCCTGGTGCCTAGAGCACATATGGACATACTTATGTTTGAACATGGTGTTTGTTATGGACAATCTATGATGAGCACACAAGTCCAATAACAGAACACCACTTGGATTCAGATCAGGGGGGCCAATCCTCCCAACCACACCCCTCCAGGTCTCACTGTCATTGCCCACATGAGCGTTGAAGTCCCCCAGTAGAACAAGGGAGTCCCCAGGAGCGGCACTCTCCTCTCTAAGGACTCCAAAAAGCTTTGGTAATCTGAACTGCCGTTTTACGCATAAGCACAAACAACAGTCAGAACCCATCCCCCCACACGTCGGCTGAGGGAGGCTACCCTCTTGTTTCCCGGGGTCAACCCCAACATACAGGCACCAAGATGGGAGGCAACACGTATGCCCACCTCTGCTCTCACCAGGGGCAACGCCAGAGTGGAAGAGTGTCCAACCTCTCAAGGAGACTGGTTCCAAAGCCAGAGCCGTGCATCGAAGTGAGTCTGTCTATTTTCTAGACGGAACCTCTGTCTCACACACCAGCTCAGGTTCCTTCCCACCAGAATGGTGACTTTCCACATCCCAGTAGCCAGCTTCTGTAGCCGAGAATTAGACCGCCAAGGTCCCCGCCTTGGGCTACCACCCATCCCACATTGCACCCAACCCCTTTGGCCCCTCCCACAGGTGGTGAGCCCATGGGAAGTGGGACCCGCATCTCCTCTTCAGGCTGTACCTGGTCGAGCTCCATGGGTGAAAGCCCTGGCCACCAGGCGCTCGCCCGCATGCCCCACTTCAAGGCCTGGCTCCAGAGTGGGGCCCCGGTGAGCCGCGTCCGGGCGAGGGAACATTGTTTCCATTTGTTGTTTTCTTCAGAGTTAGGGCCTGAGCCTTTGCCATGTTTAAATGGAGCTGAGGCTCAAGAAGAATAGTTGAGCCGGCCTTGGTTTGTTCCGAGTTTGTGGGGTGACGTTGCCTGCAGGCCGAGGAAACTCTGTGGGACCAGCTGACCTCCTACAATCGCCTGACCAAGGTCGAAACCTCTCACACTGCAGTCCAGCCTACTTGAGGTGATGTTGACAGGACTGGACCTCTGGATAGATAAGACTAAGGCGGCAAAAAGAACGAGGTGAGGAGGTCAAATTGGCTGGGGGTGATGAAATGTTTTGTTTTTCCTCTTTTGATCTAAAGGAAACCAGACCCAGGCCCTCCACACGGATAACCCTGGAACTTGAGTTAACTGTAAACAAGCAGGCATAATTTAACAAGCTGATATGCTGTTTGTATTTAACCTGAGTCTAAGGTTTGAGTTAAGAATAAAATGTGAGAAGTCAAAGGGATGTTTGAAAGATAAACAACATTTGTAATACATCCATCCATCCATCCATTATCTTTACCCGTTTATTCCATTTTGGGTCACGGGGGTCGCTGGTGCCCATGTCCAGCAATCACTGTGCGAGGGGCGGGGTACACCCTGGATAGGTCGCAAGTCCATCACAGGGCCACATAGAGACAAACGAGACAAACAACCATTCACTCTCTCACTCACACCTAGGGACAATTTAGAGTTACCAATCAGCCTAACATGCATGTTTTTGGTCTGTGGGAGGAAACCGGAGCACCCGGAGAAAACCCACGCATGCACGGAGAGAACATGCAAACTCCACCCAGAAAGGCCCCTGGACCGGGGTTTGAACCAAGGACCTGCTCACCGAGAGGCAGCAGCTCTACCAGTTGCGCCACCGTGCTGCCCTATTTGTAATATAGCGTACATGAATTAGTCTGTGTTTTGGGAAGGTACATTGGGACTGATTATTATTTTTGCTTCTTTGTTTTTTATCAACTGGGGATTACAATGTTCACTTCGACACAATAAATGGAGACAAATGTTCCCTCACCCTGATGCGGGTCACAGCCTTCAGCACCTCCCCTCCATGTCCGAGCTGTCATCGAAAAGGTCCACTGCAGACAGGAAGAAGTGGATTGGAGTCAAGGGCTCTGCTTGAGACACGTCACCATATCATATCAACTCTTTCATATCCATGTATCAATCGACCTTTGAGGATATCAAAAAATAGTTCTTTCTGTTCCTCACTGACTAGTCACAATAGGAGTGATTACATGGGACCGTTAATGTCATACATCACAACATCAGCAGGAGAAGGACATTGCAGATCGTTGTCGCAGGAGAGTTATTGATCATTATGAGTGCAAATAATACACATTACACTGACGCTGCGACAGAGTTTTGTCATCTGTAAAAATAAAAGGGGGGGTGGGGTTGTTGTATACCTTCCCAATTTGGGTGGGACAGTCTCGGATTTTGCTCTCTCTATCTTGTGTCCTACATGAGGAGGTGACGAGCTGACTGGGCTCACCTGTTCATGCCATGTCTATGTGGGAAAAGGGATACAGGTGGGCAGTTTCACAGGCTTCCTGCAACATCAGGAGTGAGGTTACCGTAATAATCTAACCAGGTGGAGTCAGGTTCTCTGGATGGAGTCTTCTTTCTTTACATGTAGGGATGCATGATATTGAATTTTTGGCCGATGTCCGATATGCTGATATGTTAAAACTTATTTGGCCAATAACCGATGCCAATACCGATATTTTATGTATGTTCCTTTGTCAGAACATAGCCCACTTATTTAGGCTTATTTGTTCCAAAAATTGTGCAACAGATCTAAGAGCTGGTGACATGTATTCAGTAACAGTCATATTATATGTGTAGCACTTTGACTTATATTAAATGAAAAGTGTTAAATGTTATTTTTTAGCATTAGTCACTTGCAATGTTGTCTCACTTGTGGAGGCTTGTTCCAGGTTCTTAGCTGCAGTGTGGGATCCTTTGCACTCCTGTGCATGAAGGACAGCCTTTTTAAGTTCAAAGTTTTTGTCTATCCATTGTGCCGTAAGACTTAATCATGCTAACGGGGCTAACACTTGATGTCCAAATGTCTGTGGTAAAACTCACCCAACAAGTCGTGCTATCGGCTGTTAGCTTCTCAATGACGTCGGAAATGATGGCTTGTAACTCGGGTAATGTTACGTTGGAAAAATATCTCTGACTGCGGACGATGTAGCGAGGTTCAATGTAGTCCATAAATCTTCGGAATCCGACATCCTCACCAATGAAAAATAAAACTTCCACACCACTGACATTTTGGATTTTCCTCTCTGCCGTGAGATCGGGTACGCGCACGTGACGTCATTGTGTTGCGCTGCCGCTGTAATGTCATCACATTGTGCTGTAACGTCATCACGTTGTGCTGCTGCAGCAGGCAAAAACAGCACGTTTTATATTGGCTAGTTATTTTAATGCAATGACCAATGTCTGATATTGAAATTTAATGCCAATATCGTCCGATACCATGCCGATAATATTGTGCATTCCTATCTACATGTTTTGTCTTTTATCCAAGACAGTCAGTCTGAACAGCTGCAACAAACTCAGGATGATTTTTTTTTTCAATGAATAAATAATAATGAAATGGAATAAGCTGTTGTGAAGTTATTGCTAAATTGTTATTTCACTTTTTTTTAATCCAGGTTTGAAGAAGTGTTTTATTCTAGTGCTGGGCTGGACATTTTGAGCAGGTTTGTATACACAAACACATTTGTTTTAGTATTTTATTTTGTTTTTATGAACATTAAATCATGCTTTCCATTATCATTAATGACGCTTCCAACCACAAGAACTTTATGTCATACTTTAGTATTTACCCTGGTCTTGACTGTAATTTTATTGAAAGCCCAGACATGAAAGGGCCACAGAGCATTGTAAAGTTCTGGTCTCAAGCCCGGTTTAATGGTTGGAAAGGCAGCAGATGTAGAACTTGTGCTGAATCAAGCATGTGGATCACTTTTAAGCTCCACTTTTTTTGTCACTTTCTGTCACTTTTAAGATTTGCATACCAAACTAGTCAGAGTCTAAGCTAACGGTGTGTGTGTTTAGGTATGTATGTATATGTATATATGTATATACAGGGGTGCTTGCAAGTTTTTGAACTCTTTAGAATTTTCAATATTTCAATTCAATTCAGTTTATTTCTATAGTGCCAAGTCCCACCAAAAGTTGTCTCAGGGCTAGGGCTGAGTACCAAACTTCAGTTCTTTTATGATTTTTTATTTTATTTTATTTATAGTTTGGTTTTTATGGTCTTTTACAGTTCCAAACTGCTTTGGTCAGTATATGTATCAAAATATGCCTCGTCTTTCGGTGTCAAATTTCGGTGATTGGCTGCAACGTTACACGTGGTTTCAACCACAAGTAACGTTACAGCCAATGCCAGTGCAGCAACTTTCAGCATGCAGGAAAAACCATTAAAAACATATCTGGTTACACCCACAGACGGGGTTCACGTGCAGTTATGGAAAGCCATTATAACAATTAATAGCCACAAATAGCCACTTGTGGCTATTAATGGTTTTAATGGCTTGCCATAATATCTGTGTTGTGAACTAGTTGCGTGTGTCGGCAACACAACTAATTTGATGAAGCGCCTGACTGTGCACAGAATCAATTTAAGAGCTTAAAGTTGCTCTGTGTTTGACTGCAAGAAGAGCCACAGCCATCCTCCACTCATCATTTAAGTCAGCCTGTGGGTGTTACAGAGCCTGAACGGCCGATTCAAAATCTTCACGACCGGACTCCGCTTCGCACCGAGGACGGCGCTGTATCTGAGATTTCAACTGGGAGGTTTACGTTTGCTAATGTGATGGCAACTTAATACGTACATTGTGGTAAGTTAAACTAGGATCCATGTAATTAAGTAAGTAAGTAAACTTTATTTATATAGCACCTTTTACAGGTCAGAAACCACAAAGTGCTTTACAGAATAAAAGACATAAAAACACAAGATAAAAGATAAAAACAAACGATAAAAGATAAAACAACGTGCGTATGACATAAGACAGTATAAAACTATTTACAAACCGGATTCCAAAAAAGTTGGGACACTAAATAAATTGTGAATAAAAACTGAATGCAATGATGTGGAGATGGCAAATGTCAATATTTTATTTGTAATATAACATAGATGACAGATCAAAAGTTTAATCTGAGTAAATGTAACATTTTAAAGGAAAAATATGTTGATTCAAAATTTCACAGTGTCAACAAATCTCCAAAACGTTGGGAGCAGTAGCAATAAGTGGCTGGAATAAGGAAACTGAGCATATAACGAACAGCTGGAAGACCAATTAACACTAATTAGGTCAATTGACAACATGATTGGGTATAAAAAGAGCTTCTCAGAGTGTCAGTGTCTCTCAGAAGCCAAGATGGTAAGAGGATCACCAATTCCACCATTGTTGTGCAGAAAGATAGTGCAGCAATACCAGAATGGTGTTACCCAGCGTAAAATAGCAAATACTTTTAAGTTATCATCATCAACCATGCATAACATCATCAAAAGATTCAGAGAATCTGGAACAATCGCTGTGCATAAGGGTCAAGGCCGTAAAACTACTGGATGCTCGTGATCTCCGGGCCCTTAAACGTCACTGAACCTCAAACAAGAATGCCACTGTCAAGGAAATAACAGAATGGGCTCAGGAATACTTCCAGAAAGCATCGTCAGTGAACACAATCCACCGTGCCATCTGCCATTGCCAGCTGAAACTCTACAGTGCAAAGAGGAAGCCATTTCTAAGCAAGCTCCACAAGCTCAGACGTTTGCACTGGGCCAGGGGTCATTTAAAATGGAGTGTGGCAAAATGGAAGACTGTTCTGTGGTCAGATGAGTCACGATTTGAAGTTCTTTATGGAACACTGGAACGCAATGTCATCCAGACCAGAGAGGACAAGGATAGCCCAAGTTATCAATGCTCCGTTCAGAAGCCTGCATCACTGATGGTATGGGGTTGCATGAGCGCTTGTGGCATGGGCAGCTTGCATGTCTGGAAAGGCACCATTAATGCAGAGAACTATGTTCAGGTTCTAGAACAACATATGCTCCCATCTAGACATAATCTCTTTCAGGGAAGACCCTGCATCTTTCAAGACGATAATGCCAGACCACATTCTGCAGCAATCACAACATCATGGCTCCGTAGGAGAAGGATCCGGGTACTGAAATGGCCAGCCTGCAGTCCAGATATTTCACCTATAGAGAACATTTGGCGCATCATAAAGAGGAAGGTGCGACAAAGAAGGCCCAAGACGATTGAACAGTTAAAGGCCTGTATTAGACATGAATGGGAGAGCATTCCTATTTCTAAACTGGAGAAACTGGTCTCCTCTGTCCCCAGACGTCTGTTGAGTGTTGTAAGAAGAAGGGGGGATGCCACACAGTGGTAAAAATGTACTTGTCCCAACTTTTTTGGGATTTGTTGACGCCATTAAATTTGGAAACAACAGATTTTTTTCCCTTAAAATGATACATTCTCTCAGTTTAAACTTTTGATCTGTGATTTGTGTTCTATTCTGATGTAGTGAACTAAGCCTCAGGTCAAATCTGGCCTTGAGGGTCTTCCTGGAACAAGAACTGTATTTCATTGATTTGAGTCCAGAAACACAAGATTAAGTTCATCCAGGGACTTCCTAAGTGTCCTGCACTGATCAATTGAAAGAACACTCTTTTTTATTATCATTACTACTTTACAATATCTTGATAATCAAAAGTGTGTTTAGTTCAAACCATTTTTAATGTTGAAGTGAACTACTCATTTTAAATCAACTGTGAAACAGTATTAGTGATTTTTTTAATCCTCATTCAAAGTAGAAATCAAGTTAGAATGTGTTACGGAGTAATTCATGCATTTTCTGATCTTCTGTCTTTGAAATGAGCAAATGTAAGTTGGTCCAAGGTTGGAGGCAAGAAAACAAGTTGTTGGAACGAACTGTCATGTTTTTATATCCTCTCAGACGTAAATAGAGAAGCTGGCACCTGTTTTCCCCCAACTCGCCTAAACATTTCTCTTGTCTGTCTCAAAAACATCTTCTGTCCGTTCCAAAACAATTTTTCTGTTTTTCTGACTTTTAATAACCTCTTACATCACTAAAACACACCCCTGTCTGGTCGATTGACCAATCAGGAACTTCCCAAATGAACCGGAAGTAGAACTCTTTAAATGTCGGCACTTCCTAGTTCAAACCAGCTGCGGTCGAGTGCAGTCGAGTTCAGTTCGGAGAGCAAACCGAACACAAGAAGTGCTGGAGAGAACAGGAGTTCCAGACATGATCCGGAGTTCTTCCGAGTCTCGTGGGAATTATGAAATCTTCCACATCTGAGTGGAACTCTGACGGACTCACAACTCGTGAGCCCAACCGAGAGGTGAACCTGTGTCGGACGGAATACCGTCACTACTTCGGACGATTCACAGCTGTTCCTACGGAGACGCTGAAAGGGTGCGTTAAATAGAACTCCGTACCAGTGGAGACACCTGCTACAGGTAAAGAGTCGATTTACACCACCTAAGTGTACCGAGGAGGAAGCTGGGATCTTAAAGGAGCGTGCCGTTCGGATACCGACTGTCAATAAACCAGGTGTCTGTAGTGGTGATACATGAACAGGCCACCAGCTTTAAAGAAAAATGAAGCCTGATCAAAAGTTCTCCTCAGCAACAGCTAAGAATGATAATGTGTAACCAAAGTTTTACTGTTTTAATAATGTGTAACCAAACTGTTTTACTAAATAATCAACACATAATCAACTGATAGAAGTATTAATCTTTAAGACATTGTATAATCCTTTGTATGTTTGTGTGAGATGGTAAAAGTAAAGAGGCCTCATGTAACACAGAAACAAGTCTGGGCATGCCTCGAGCCATAGAGGAAAACAGGAAGTCACAAGGTTTAAACACGACTCCTCTCATGATGACTCATCTTTGAGCAAAACAAGTTTTGGAAAGTCCCAGAAATCTGGTCTAAACCGGTTGAGGGGCAAAACAGCACAGAAGTTACTGGAAAAGAGATGATGTAATTTTCCATAACCCCTCCTTAAGAGGAGGAGGGATGAATGAGTCTTTAAATACAGACTGACCAGAACAAAGCTTGGTCAATGCAAGTCGGAGTTGAGCTGAGGAGCTGAGCAGAGAGAATTACAAGCAAGGAGCAGCCCATCAGGATCAGAAGGAGCCCAAAAAGAAGATTGGATTTTACCAGTTTTGAGATGATGATGGAAATTAACTCTTTTCTTCACTGACATGGGATTGGATGTAAGTTTTCTTTCGTCAAACTGGATGAGATTCCTACTTCAAAAAATGCATGACCTGGGCCCGTCCAAACTCTGATCTTCTAATTTGGAAATAGTTGCACTTGCTTCAGAGGTTGGCCTGTATCCCTCCCCTAGGGAACAGGAGATTTGCCCTTACCCCCACCAGTGTCCCACTAAGGGGCATACCTAAATCATGGTAAGCGGACGACCTCATTCTTACTCTGCTCTAATTAAATTATTTCATCAGATTGGAAGAACAGCATACAGAATAAATTTGGGAGTACTAAATTGGTTACTGGTAAGATTTGCTCGAAGGTGTTTCTGGTTCATGAGGGAGTTGAGAGAAAATATCTTCTGGCTTGAGTTGTGAAAGGTCTCTGTGAAGGAAGTATCTGTAAAAACCCTCAAGGGCTCTTGAGGTTTAGAGTTTCACAGATA